TAATGGGAGATTGCCCACTTTTCTACACTCGAGCAGCTGGTCTAGTGGATTTGACCCACTGACTCTTTGGGTAGCATTGCCGTGTGGTAGAGACTTCACCTCTAGAACCTGTTATTAATGACAGCTGTCGTTCAGTGCTGAATGTCATGCTCTGGGTTCCACTTGACAATCCCATAGATGGCTGCACTATGAGATTAACGTATTCATCTCAGTGAGAAGGTTATTGAACTCAAACCACTTTTCTATACATCCTCTTTCCAATGTATTCAGATAAATATCAACTTACAAATCAGAATTTTCCCCTCTACATTTTCATTCATCTGTTTAATGAAATGGAGACAGAAAAGGAGAAGGAAAAATTTAGAGTCATTCTAAAACTGTGAGCACCTTTGTCTTTTTGATAATGACATGATTTTGGTATTTCTTCTATCCTATTGTAGTATTTTGTACCTAAGCTTTCTCAAGCCTTAAATTATAAAACCTAGTGTTATAAGGTAAAGGTTGAGTTTTGTGCTTGCAGATAGAATGACAGAAGAGTTTTTACAGCAATGACTTTTTAAAATAACTGCGCTATACTGGAGTTCTCATCATCTTTGTAAAAGAACAATTCAGGTATGGTATGATGTAAAATATAAATCAATGATTGAATAAAGTATAGGTCACAAAAAACTTCAAAATTCAGTTGCTGTCAGGTTGAAACCTGTTCATAACTGATCATCAGGTTTTTGAGATTCATCCTAGAGAGGGTTAAACCAGGCTACCCCTTGGAGGCAAGGATTCTGGGGCTTCGTCTGACATACTTTGGACATGTTGTAAGGCGAGACAGATCCTTGGAGAGGGACATCATGTTTGGTAGGGTGGAGGGACAGCACAGGAGGGGAAGACCCTCTATGAGGTGGATTGATTCAGTGACTGGGGTAATCGGGATGGGTGTTTCAGAGGCAATGTGATTGGCACAGGATAGAGCAGGGGTTAGGGCTGTTGTACATAGGGTCGCTATGAGTCGCAAGCAACTCAACGGCACATAACAACAAACGGCTCGGAGGAGATTGCTGCTTCTCTCCTCAGAGCTGTTGGTGAATTCGCCCTGCCAGAGAGTCTCTGCCTTTGGGTTAGTGGTGAGTCCCTACCAGAGCTCCCTTGCATAAGTCAAATTCCATTACCCTCTCTTTTAACATAATTTTATTAGTATACTGAGTAAATAAAGTTTTTGCCCTCTCATTGTATTTCCTTTAGGGTACTATAGTTCACTCGTCTTAACCTTGTTGCCATAGAGTTACTTCAGAGTGGACATTTATTGTTGCTTTAAGCAGTTCTGAAGAGAATCTCTATATTAAGGAAAAATCAAAGCCAACAGTTCTTAGAGTTTACAGAGACTTAGTATCTATCCATGTGTGAAAGATTATTAAAAAAATATATCTTAAGTGTTTGAAGTCAGGACCTTGTTGCTAATAAGTGCCATTTTCCAATTTGTGAATTTAACCTTTGAAGCTTTGTAGAGGGCAGCTTGTACTGTCTTAGAAACATTCTTGTGGGAGTACCATAAAGGGCTTAATAATTACTAAAGTAATATCTTACATAATGATTGAATTAATTAGTTTTTTGTAGTCTAAGGAGTATGAATGCCAATCCAAGGGTAGTGAAATTTACAACCTCTGAAAACCCCAGAGGGTCAGCTAGGGATCACTTTGGACTCAACACACATAAAAACAGCAACATTACAGTTTAATTACTGTCATTAAAGTGGGGCTGTGAAAAATTAATGAACATTTAAAAAGTAAAATACTACTGTAAGTATAAATACATAGCAAAATTATTTATACCATAAATTCCGAATTATTTATATTAAAATATGTTGAGTTGTCTCCTTTTATTGTTAAAATATGTTTGAGACACCAAAATTTCAAATACAAACTTAGTTTTCAACTGCTGGATACTTACTTTCTGTGTATTAGGTGGAATTCTCTTATCTGTTTTTGTATTTTGATTGTTAGCATTTTTTTTAAAAAAATTTTATTGGCGAGCTCTGGTGGCCTATGGCAAGAAGCTCCACTGCAATCCCAGAGGTGCACAGTTCGAATCCACCAGATGCTCTCCTGAAGAAGGAGGGACAAGATCCTCCTATACCAGTCAGATCTGATTTGATAGTACACACACAGAAAAATAATAAAAATTTTAAAAAAAAGAAATACCTTTTAAAAAATTTATTATTTTTTGTGCATGTACCGTCAAATCAAATCTGACTGGTATAGGAGGAAATTGTCCCTCCTTCTCTGGCAGAGCATCTGGTGGATTTGAACCATGTACCTTTGGGACTGCAGTAAAGCTTCTTGCCACTAGGCCACCAGAGCTCCCCTAGCACTTTTTTTTTATTTAAAAATTTTGTGTGTGTGTGTGTGTGTACCGTCAAATTGGATCTGACTGGTACAGTAGGAGATTGCCCCTCCTTCCCCATCAGAGCATCTGGTGGATTTGAACTGCATACCTTTGGTATTGCAGTGCAGTTTCTTGCCACTAGGCCACCAGAGCTTCCTTGTTAGCACTTTTTAAGTACCATGGAACTTAGCCTTTTCCGGATCCTTGATCCAAAAGCTCATCATTGATGTATCTACTTGTTGTAGGTGTTTGATGTTTATCAACTTAAGGGTTTTGATGTTAAAAGTTACTTATACACAACTTATTCAATCTTGCTTATTCCCCATATCATTAATTAAATTGATAGTAAAAGGTGAGCATATTATATTTTTCAGTGTGTCTAACAAAGCACAGTTTAAGCAGTGATTTTTGTACAGTTGACTCCTTGGGTATTACTTGGAGATAAAAGTTTTGAGTGTCTGTGTAATCTTTACCACACAAACATAAATATTTCTACACACTATTTCTTTTAAGGGAGCTCTGGTGGCCTTGTGGCAAGAAGCTGTGCTGCAAACCTGAAGGCACACTGTTCGAGGCCACCAGCTACTGCATGGGAGAAAGATGGACAGTCCCATCCCATGCGATTTACTGCCTCTGAAAAGATGCCAGAGGGTCAGCTATGGGTCAGTTCCAACTTTATGGTATACAGCAACCACAACAATATGACTTTTAATTAGATTCAGAATAAGGTTGTCCTTCAGATAAAGGTTTTTTTACAATGACTATAGTATACAGCACTGTTACTGTTTTATACTATCAAGTCAGAACTGACTCATAGCTGACCCTCCAGTGGATTGTCCATGTTTCTCCCTTGGAGCACCTGGTGGATTTGAACCATGTACCTTTGGTTTGGCAACATAACTCCTTATCATTGAGCCACCAGAGCTCCCAAATTTGCACTAGAATGGCAATGACTAGAAGAGTCTTCTGATTAAAGCAATAGAATCTTATCCATTATTGCTTCTCCTGCCACACTGACTTAAAATGGAAAAGTCAAACCCGTTACCATCTAGTTACATTTAGGGGAAAAAAGTACATAAATTTAGATGGTTTCCTATCATTACTTTTTAAAAAAATGTAGCATTTGAAGCCCAAGTGTAATTTGAATAAGAGCTTTTCCTCTACCCTCTAATAAAACATTCTAGGTAGGGTAGCTCTGGTGGCCTAGTGGCAAGGAGCTGCAGCTACAATCCCAGAGGCTTACGGTTCGAATCCACCAGATGCTCTGCCGGGGAAGGAGGGACAATCTCCTCCTGTACCAGTCAGATCTGATTTGATGGTACACTCACACAAAAATAAAAAAAAAAAAAACCACCAAAAACAAAACCCAAAACATTCTAGGTAAATAAATTTTCCTTCAAAACTTTAAGTACTTTTTTTTTCTTATAACTAAGGACCATCAGCTACAAATAGTCTTTTTTTTTAAGCTATTAGGGAATTGAAAAACCAGTTTATGCTAAGCTTTGAATAAATAAAAACCCTCTTACTGTTGGCTTAAGGATCTATGAACCCTTTTTAATTACTTGTCTTTATCCAGATTCTGTAACTAGACATAATTATGGATGAATCAGAAATTACATGAGTCTGTTTTAACATCATTATTATACTTAAGATTTCAACATTATTTAAGTAAGTCAGAGTTTTGTGCACTTTATTAATTTAGAGGTCTGATTCTTTGTACATAGATCAAGAACACATATTCACATAACATGAAATGAAACAGGTTGGTCACCTCTTGAAACACTGTGAGGCAGACCAGTTCTTTCAGTAACTAAACATAATATTTTTTTTCAAATAATGCATATATAAAAATTGTGTTCAAGTGTAAGTACATAAAATGTCAAGAGTTATGACACTAATTTTGTAGAATTCCAGTTTTATGTTTGGGTTACATAATTTTAAAAAAACCCTCATTAATAATTAACCTAAAACATACCTTTTACATATATCGTAGGTACTATTTTGTCAAGAATATGTATCTATATATAGAAGATGGGGAAAGGTTAAAAAACAAGTATTCATCACCTAACACAAAGTTCTGTGAAATAGAGTGCAATGTGATTTGGATAATGTATAAACACCATATTAAAACTTTGTGGGAGCCCCACTGCTGGCCATCCTTGTTGCTCCCAGCAGGAGAGGGCAGCAGTTGGCCAGGGCAGCAGGGAGAAAGCAGAATGCCCCTAGCCCCACTTGCTGTACTGTCTGCCCGAGAGCCAGCACCCAGAGCCATGCCCTCTTCAGCTCCTCATATCTGCTCATGGTCCAGTGGTTCAAGAGTCTGGATTTGGTAAACGAGAGAGCTGCTTTCCCTTTAAACAGAACAGCAACAAGAAATCAAAGCCTCACAAGACTAGAGACCTGAATGCATCGGATGATACATCAAGGAGAGTATAAAACTGTTTTCAGAAAATTACCTTTCATTCTTTAAGCTGATAACCATAGAGAATGATGAGAAATGAACTGTTTCCTTACTGAATTTTAAATAGTTCATCTTTTATTTCAAGGAAAATGGAGAGTAAATGAGTGGCTAGTTCTCTACACAGGCCTTTGGTTTGATGACAGGAACAAAGTGAAATACTTACCAAACATTATTGTCAAGAGAGCAATTGGCATCACAAACAATCCAACCAGCAAATCAGCCACTGCCAGGGACATTAGAAAATAATTGGTAGCATACTGCAGCTTTTTCTCCAGTGAAACAGCCAGAATGACAAGGATGTTTCCACCAATCGTGGGTATTATCACTGTGAGTATCAGAAGAGCTGCCCAGCGCAGCTTAGTTCCCTGTTCCTCACCAGTCTGTTTCACATCCTCCGGTATTGAGTCTGTCTGTGATTCAGACCAGTTAGACGAGATGGTGTGATCAAATGTGCCCTGCAGAACGGGCTCAGGAATTGTGCTTTGTTCCGACATTCTATAAAAGAAAGCCATTTGATGTTTTCCTGTGATTTGACCCAATGCCAAACAGTGGCCAGCATGGTTAGTAGCTAGACTGTTATCTATTTCTTTAAGGCATTGCACCGATGCTAATTGAAGGCAAAGTTGACTCTTTCCTTAAAAACAACAAACAAGTCTTCAAGAATGAGGGCATACATATGTATCCATATTTGCAGGTGGAGAGCCAGGCTTCAGAAGACTTGAGTGAAAGAAATGAGTGACTGTTAAAAACAGGCAGTTGATTTGTTCTTTTTCCTAGAGCAGTAGGGTTGGATTTGAATGCCACAGATGTTCTCCTAGATAGAAATATGTGGACTGTGTTACTTTATTTGAAAAAGCAGTAAAGACATTTAAATTTACCCTTACCCTCTCAAAAAAGGCTTTTGTGCATTCTTGACAATAGCTCTCACAAAAAATTTTCCTAACATGCCTCAGATAATGAGACAGGAAATGCATTCATATTTTTCAGTGGTTAAAATAAAAATACAAGCATTCCTTGATCTTTGAATTAACTTTTATTTTAGAAAATGTAAAGAAGAATAAAAAAAATTAAAACACTAAATTCCTTTTGATGACAATGTGAATAGAATTTTCCATAAACACTGGCCACGGTCTTAGCAACCCCCAGGCCCACCTAAATTCTTTTTTTTTTTGTTAAAAAAAAAAAAGACTTTCCAGAAAAGAATACTTATTTGTAGTTACATTTTGTGTAACCATATTTATGTTAATACTAATTCAAATTTAAATTCCATTTTTATAAAGCATTTTGGAATACAGTTTGTTAGAAAGGAAAAGAAAAAGGTGTTATTAGGGTCCAAATAACATAATTAATTATTCGTCTTTCAAAGCATGTTTCTGTACTAGATATTTTCCCATTTAACACTTTGTGTATTTGATCTCCCTGCTCCCCCTGCTTACTTGTTTTAGATATTTTTCTTAAATGTAACAAGAGTTCCCCTTGGAAGGAAGAGATACTAAGGGGAAAATTTACACATTTTATATTTTAATGTTCTTCTTCTATTTGTAAGATTTTTATATTTATTTTAAACTGCTGAATAGAAATGAAAGATTATAGTAGCAGAGTACTTGGAGAAAGCAAAAAGCTACAGACTAATCCTATGTTTATTTGTTTGTTAATACACTTACCTCTTGTTTGCGAGTTACTTTCTCCGAACATGTCATCCTGTTCTGTAGACTTCTTGCTCCAGGGACAGAATCCTCCTCCCATTTGCTTCTTCTGAGCCTCCAGCTCTCGTGCTTGAAAGCAATGAAACAGTGTGTTGTGTAGCTGTAAGCATGCCAAGAAGGTTATTTCCTCTTTGATACATTCATTTTGAAAGATCAGAAGAATTCATTATCTTGTGTAAAGCCACCAGCTAAGTGTGGTGAACTGAATCATGACTTCAGCTGAAGTTAGATTTTTAAGCGCTCTCTTTGATATTTAGGGCACCCTAATAATGGCTGTCATTTTGGCTTCAGCTGATTTTTGTTTGGGATTAACCCTGGACAATTTCTCTTGTTTGAGAGAAAGTAAGATCTAAGAATCTAGAGCTTGACTCTGCCCTGTGGATTTTTATAATTTCTAGAATTCTCATCTCCACATTTTATTCGGCTATTTTACCTTTGCTGTGGCACACAATCCGTTTACTCTGTTTACATCCTTATATAGAAGAACACAGAAAGGTCTGAGATCTGCATATAGCAAAAACTAAATTTTAGCAGGAACTTTTCTCATTGTTCTTGAACAGATATCCTCTGAGTTTGGAGGTTGTTTATTTGATATTTTGTTTTTTCCTCAAAGATGTTACATTGAAGAAAGTGCTATGTAATGAAAATATGTTTCTGCCTTACTCAGAAAATTGTAAAAATCTTAACAGCTTAACCAGCTAAGCTCTTTCTCAACCAAAAGATTACCTTAATATGAGAGCTTTGACAGTTTTAAGTTTCCCTTCCTAGAGGATTATCAGAGATGGCTCATGTTTTTTATTCAAATACATTTCAGTGGGGATATTTGTCGTCTCCCCCCTTTTTTTTTTGCTTCAAGCCTACACTTTTTTTTTTTAAATATCTTTTTGTTTTGTGTGTGTGTTCTGTCAAATCAGATCTAACTAGTACAAGAGGAGATTTCCCCTCCTTCTCCAGCAGGACATCTGGTGGATTTGAACTGCCTGCCTCTGGGATTGCATTGCAGCTTCTTGACAGTAGGCCACCAGAGCTCCACAAAACTTATATTTCTTAACTTTTGTGAAAAATGACTGGAAAATACTTGATTCTGTTCTGTTAGGCAGAGAAGTTTTCATTTTATAGTTCACATGTTATGCAGTATATGCTGACTTTTTAATGTAAAAATCACTGTTTGAGGAAACTGAAATCTGTAAGTAGTAAGAATTCTGAATGGAAAATAATTATCAGGAACGATGAGACAAATTTTAATGTCAGAATTTCTACTATTACCTCAGTCACTGAGTCAATCTGTCTCATCCAGGGTCGTCTTCTCTTGCTGTGTTCCTCCACCCTTCCAAGTATTCTTTAAAAAGACTACTTTGTTCTGGATTACAACTTCACTTTGATACTCTTCATGCAGCCACCGAGGGTTTGGAACAAGTAATGACTGAAAAAACATCCAGGAAGAAACCTTGAGTGAGATAAGCCAGGTGTACTTTGTAGTTTTAAATCATTTAAAAAATATTCATTAAGTGTTTTATTAAAATTCCGATCTTATTTTAATGTCTTAATGTTTTTACGTACATGCGGTCACTTTTTTCTTAACTAAAAGTCTTTAAAGAGCATACTTGGACTTTTTCTTTTAATTGATTTACTGACTACAGAACTAAAACTTGCTAGAATAACCATTTCTTTTGCTGCCACACGTTATTAGAAACAGAGCTAAGATTCATAGAGAAAGTAAAATAATAGTAGGTGTAAATGTGTAGATGAGCCTCAGAGTTGGCAGATAACCTGTGCTCTTGAGGCTGAAGGCAGTCTGTAAGTGAAGACTCAGAGCATTCACACGAGCTTGGGCAGATGTGCACACTCTTGCATCCCTCCCCCAAGTGGAATGAAAACAACATTTGCACATGATGATTAACCTAAATAGCACAAAAGGTATTCAGTGCTAAACTTAACTACTGCGAAAGTTTTATTTAACAAACATATTTCCTGCCCCTTACAAATTGAAAAGTGGACACTTTGATAAGAGCAATGTCATCTGGATAAAAACTCCAGCAAACCAGGAGCAAAAGCAGGACTTTACAAGCATACACGTGGAGGCCTGTTCAGAGTCGTGGCTTACAGCTTCTGTTTCACTTTATCTTCTGCACCATGTTGGACAATGAGGAGCTCACAGTAATTCAGATTTGCTTTGGATGATGACAGCAATTTAAAAAAAACATTTTTTTTTTAAAACCACACTTAAACTCATTGCCGTGGAGTTGGAACCAACTCACAGCTGACCCTCCAGTGGATTTTCGAGGCTGTAAGTTGTGTAGGAAGAGATTGCCCATCTTTCTCCCACAAAGTCGATGGTGGATCTGAACCACCAGAAAGGTGTAGCCTTTGGGTTATATATTTCACACTTTTATTGTGATTTGAGTGAACAGAGCAAGTTGGTTTTGCATTCAACAGTTTGTACACATTTTGCTTAGTGACATCATTTACAGTTGACACGTTTGACAGCACTTTCTCATGTCACCCGCATGTTTCCTGTATCTCTTCGTCCTTTTTCTCCTGTCACTTTTTACCTTCTGAGTTTTATCTCTTCTCAGTATGGTTAAAGAGTGAATGTAATTGTTCACTGGTTATTGGGTTCAGTTCAGTGCTTGACGAGTAAGGGCCTTAATCTCAGGCCTTCTCTACCATGTTCTTTGACACATCACATGTAAGCCTAGTCTTCTTTATGACTTTACATTTTCTTTCTTTTTCTCCTATTTTATCCATGACCTTCTGTTAATGATCCCTTAAAGTAGTCAGCAGTGGTCTCATCTGGGTCCTGGAGATTGAAGTTCATGTAAAATCCTCGTCTCTGACATACTCAAGCCCATTGCTGCTGTCACTGTGTCAGTCTATCTTGTTGAGAATTTTTCTCTCTTTGGCTGACCCTCCTCCTTTCCAAGTTATCCCTTCCTGACAACATACTCCAAGTATGTTAGGTAAAGCTTGACTATCCTTGCCTTCAAGGAGCACTATAGCTGCACCCTCTCTTAAGACATATCTGTTTGTTCTGTTGGTAGTCCATGGGATATTCAGTACGTTTCTGTCCAGCACCACAGTTCAAAGGCATTAGTTCTTCTGTCATCCTTATTCACTGTCCAGCTCTCAGATACTTGTTATTGTTGTTATTGTCAGATGCCAGTGAGTTATGTACAACTCATAGTGACCCAGTGAACAAAAGATCTGAACCCTGTTCTATCCTGTGCCATCCTCACATTTCCTACAAGAGCCCGTTGCGGTAGTCACTGTGTGAATCCACCTGATTGAGGGTCTTCCTCTCCTTCATCGGCCCTCTACCCTTACCAGCATCATATTCTCCAAGGAATATCCCCTCCTTGCAGCATGCCCAAAGTATGTGACACCACAGATGGATAGTGATTAAAAAGACCATGGCCCAGATCAGGTCTTCAGTCTTTAGACTGACATCATTTCACCTCAGTACTTTAGAGAGGTCCTTGACAGGAGACTTTCCCATTTCAACATGACTGTTGACTTCTTGACTGCTGATGTCAAGTGTGTTGATTTTGGATTCCAGTAACACAAAATTGTTCATGATTTTTACCTTTTCTCTATTTATCATGATGATGTTCATCGGCCTGGTTGTGAGGATTTTTGTCTTTTTGTATATTGAAGATTGTAGTCTTTGATCTTATGCAGAAAGCACTTCTAGTCCTCCTAACTTTCAGCAAGCAAGGTTGTGTCATATGCGTATTGCAGGTTTTTGATGACTCTTCGATGCCACATTTTTCTTCATAGAGTCCAGCCTCTCAGTTAATTTGCTCAGCATTCAGACTGCATAAGTATAGGGAATGAGTTTTACTGATTATTGTTAAGTGCCACTGAATCATAGATAACTCATAGTGACCGTATGAACAAAAGACCCGAACACTTGTATAACTTTCATCATTTTTCCAAGTTCATAGAGTTTCAAGAGGCAAGCTATTTTGGAAGTGGATGCCACTCTTGCTT